AGTTGAGGAGTATTGGATCTGTACTTGAACGAAGGGTCCAATGTAAAGTTGAAGGATTACTAGTTGTTGGACTGTTGGTTTACTCTGGAAGCAGTGAGCCTATAGGTGATCCAGCTGGAGGGGTGAGTTACAAGAAGAAGCAGATGACTCCAGGGATGGAATGGGTGTTTGCAGGGGGTGCTAAAGGAGAGCTTGCTACACCATGAGCAGCCACCCGGGGTTGTGCTGGCAGGCGAGTTACATACAGTGTAGTTTTAGATTTGTTTCATTAAAACTGCAGGTTATTGAATGATCTGGTAACTAATTAACATTGCAGCGAATGCATTAACCATGCAGCTCTGTTTCATAAATAAGGGGCTTTGATGTATAAGTCTCTTGCACATGCTGGGCTCTGATAAAAAAAATGTAGTTGTACTCACCTTTGGTTATATGAGCTGGATACACAATCACTGAGCTATGCACACATCTGGAGTGTCTTGTGCTCCGAAATAAGCACTGGCATTTGGTTTAACTTGCTGTTACGGAATGCTTTCTCTCCTTCTCTTCCCCCTCCCTCTCCTCATTTCTGGCAGAGCCTTCCTATGGAGGAAAGTAGGCTTGAAAACATGGGATATTACATTACACTAACTTGCAGCACGATGTCATGCATTGCGAAGCACATCTGCACAATTTCCTGGAGGGGTAATATGGCCCTTCTAACATTCTTTTTCAATAATTTGACAAATGGAGGGGTATTCAGGGAACAGCAATAGAAATGATCATAGTGCTGGAAAGGCTGATAAGGGAAAAAGCAGAAGTCTTTATTTTCACTAAGAGAAGGTAGAGGGTGCAATAATGCAAAATAGTGGAAAATGTCCCCTTCTGTTCAATCATACATTGGCAGGGGAATTGACTCTCCATCTCTCAATTCTGTGGAGTATTAGTGAGAGGGGAACACCTGTCCACAGTTAGCTGGACAGCTTTTTTTTTTTTTTGACTATTTCCACCTCAAACAACTTGTGGAGCAGAGGTGACTTGTAGCTGCGAATTGGCCGTGTCTTACCACTTGTTTTTTTTTTTTTTAACACTTTCACATTGACTTTTTTTAGCCTGAGCTTTGTTACAGTTTAAGCTGCTAATGGCAGTACAGGCTGGAGAGAGATGTACCACTCATGCATGCACATGAGAAAATGTGTGTAAAGTGGCAAGGTTGCTGAAATGAAGTCAAATAAGATTTGAACAGTTTTTGTGAAGACAGCACTTAAAATCAAACCCAAACCGATATATATTTCTGCAAGGGCTACATGAGATTGCAGCTTGCGGTACAGAACAGAAAATGCAATAATAAAATCAGTGTCTTGTACAGAGACAGAACCCATTAATATCAGCAAGTACAACCAAAACACGTTTCTTCTTTTGGGAGGATGAAGGCTGTAGACTGACTTTGTGGAATCACTGCAGTAAGTTGTAAATGATGGATAAAATGAAAAACCTCTGCCTGGTGCCCATTAAAACAAGACAACACTGTGCTATTTGCTGTAGTATTCAGCTCAGAGGCATCAGGGAATGTCTAACCATTTTAAATTTGCGTTTATATTTGATATCACAATTTTTTGTTTGCTTTCCTGATTTAGAAAAAGGAAATGGTTTTCCCTTGGAGGCACCTGGCTACTTCAATTTAGCTTGTATGGGTGCTGGTGGGTGGAGGGTGTACAGCGAGAGAGAAAGAAACATCTTTGTACAGGGCCTGGGCCTTTAGGCCCTATCACAATACAAATAATTATGAATAACCATAAAAACATTTTCACTCCACACTCCCCTATCCACACTCAAACATCCTTCACCCATTTCACTTCTATACAATGTTGTCAAGTGTCACTGGGATTATTGTCATTGATATCAAAGAAACACTAGGCTAAGAAAGGTTGAGGTAGGGCTAACATAATATCCTTAACTTGGTACACACTTGTGGCAGTTTTATGGCTTATGATAACTGGAAGGTGCTTCCCGTTTAGAGTAATAACCACAGTTAAGACTGAACAAACTCAGAGACTGAAGGATTTATAGCAAATAAACTGAGATTGAAGAATTTATTTGCCCAGGATATGGCGATTAATTCATGAACAGGAATCACCGTTGAGGTGCTGTTATACGGACATGTAAAATTAAATGTTCAAAATTGAAAAGAATAAACAACTGTTTTGCTTTGGTGTGGTGGTATATGTGTGTGTGTGTGTGTGTGTGTGTGTTTGTTTTTTTTAAAAGGCTGTCGGAGGGCCCAGCCCTGCAATGTGCTGAGCGCCTGGGGTAAATTGGAACTTTTGTACTCTTCCTCACCCCATGTCTCCTGTGATGTCACTTCTTATCCCTTTCATCTCTAGCCACCTTTTATTCCTGCCTCAGAAAGCTTTCCTCCCCAGAATAAGTGCAGTGTTTCAAAAGTGAATGTGGTGGGGCAGGGGAAGGGGAAGGTTGGGGTTTTCCAGATAGAGCTTTTGCTTCAGTATCTGCCCCCCATTCCTGTGGGAAGGGAAGGGTGAGGAGGTGAGGGGGAGAGCTGAATGTCAATGAGAAAACCTCATGATGATTATTAGGGTGGATCTGGAATGAGGGAAATAAGCGAAAGGGATTTTTTTAGGCAGTTAAACAGCCTAATTTTTTTCTTTTTGGTGGGGGAGGCAATGTGTGTGGGGGTGTTTTCTTTCCTATCTGTATCAGAGGTTTCTTTACTTAAACTGGGAAGGGGCGGAAAGCTGAAGTGGCAGCCGAATTATTCCACTCATTTGGGCTCAGATCTTACATCCGCACAGCAACGTGTAAGTGAGTCTGAGTTGGTATAATTCACACACCAAGGAGCCAGCAAAAAGTGTCAGAATCTTCTGACACCCTCCTCTTTGTTGCTTTTCTTGCCACAGTTCTCTTTTCAGCCCCTAGCACCTGTTTTAACACCCATTTACTTATCCTCAGTGGGCTAAATTAGAAGGTTATTGGGCAGGGGGGAAGAGGCATGGCAAGTTATTTGAGGGCTGTAGGTCTCTGTCAGCCGCTGTAGAAGAACTAAATAGTATTATCCTAAGGGAGACTAAGTTGCTGTAAAAATATATATATTTAGATGGGGAGAAGGTAAAATTACACCAGTTTAGATTCACTCTAAACTTCCTTGTCTACATATGAAACTTTTTTCAGTATCAACGAAGTGTGACTTGAATCTGATAGTTATACCACTACAACGTGCGTGCGCCCCCCGCCCCATCCCATGTGGCCATTCTTATTTTGGTACAAGATATAGGGTTGCCAACTTTCTAACTGCACAAAATCAAACACCCCTACTCCCTCCCCTTTTCTGAGGCTCTGCCTCTGCTCACTCCATCCCGTCTCCCTCCATTGCTGGCTCTCCCCCACCATAACTCACTTTCACTGGGTTGGGTGTGGGAGGGGGGTGAGGGCTCTGGGGTGGGTCCAGGAATGAGGGGTTGGGGTTGCAGGAGAGGGCTCCAGGCAGGGAGTTGAGATGCGGTGGAGAGGGGTGAGGACACTGGCTGGGGGTGCAGGCTGTGGGGTGGGGCTGGGGATGAGGGGTTTTGGGTGCAGGAGGGAGCTCAGGCTGAGGGGTTCAGAGTGTGGGAGGGAGTGTGGGCTCCAGCTGGGGGCATGGACCCTAGAGTGGGGCCAGGGATGAGAGGTTTGGAGTAAAGGAAGGGGCTCTAGGCTGGGGCAGGAGGTTGGGGTGGGCTCTGGGGTGGGGCCAGGGATTAGTTTGGGCTGTAGGAGGGGCTGTAGCAGGATGTTGGGGGGGGGAAGGGTGCAGGCTCTGGGGGGGGAGTTTGGGCGCGGGAGGGGACTCCAGGCTGGGGCAGGGAGTTGGGGTGTGGGAGAGGGTTCAGGGTGCGGGGTCACCGTAGTGCTTATGGCAGCTCCCGGGAAGCAGTTGCCACGTCCCTGCAGCCCCTAGATATGTGGGTGGCCAGGGAGGCTCTGTGTGCTGCTCTGGTGCCTGGAGCTCCTGCCCAGGCAGCTCCCATTGGTCATGGTTCCCGGCCCATGGGAGCTGTGGACCTGGCCTCGGGGTGGGAGCAGTGCGTGGAGCCACCCTGGCTACCCATGCACCTAGGGGGCTGCAGGGACTTGGCAGCTGCTTCCGGGAGCCACACTGTGCTAGGGCAGGCAGGGAGCCTGCCTTAGCCCCGGACACCCAGTGTGCCGCTGACCGGGCTTTTAATGGCCCAGTTGGTGTTGCTGACCGGAGCCACCAGGGTCCCTATTTGACCAGGCGTTCCAGACAAAAACAGGATGCCTGGCAACCCTAATAAGATGGCTTTGTTTGGTTTAGCTTATATTGCTTATATTGGGAAGGGATTTAACCTACACAAAAAAGCCACTCTGATACTGCATGGCAAGTTATTTTAGCATAACTATATCTGTATAATGGGTAATACTTGCCTGAGTACACAAGGCCTTAGACATAGCTCTGAATTTGATCCCCAGTGTTATCTATATCTGCACAGATGGTAAAACTCATTATTTTCCACAGCAAGATAATACAACATTTTTTTGGGAGATACCTAGATATCTCTGGACTGGTTTCTGTCTTTTTGTCTGTCTCTGAAGTTATGAACAAAAACTACATTAAAAGAACGTTAAGATTGAAAAATGGATTATTAAAAAGTTAGGAAAAACCAGAATTAAGTTTGCCTGTGCAACCTTAATTGAGCCCCCTTGTACTCATACATTATGACAGTCTTAAATTACATGTTCACATACCGTTTTTTCCACAAGACTGCCTCATTCAGTGCACAGGATGGATGTTGCTCACTGAATGAGCAGCTATTCATTATTGTCTTTACTGCATACTCTTCAAACCTGATCTGAATGGAGAATTATTCACTTGCAGGGAGGTGTGTTCAGGATTATAGAGGGTAGTCTACAGCTCTCCTCTGGGAGGACAGAGTTGTGAGGCTAGCAAACTCAGAGAGGGGGGGAAGCCAGGAAGGTAGGAGAAGGCTTGGAAAAAGTAGCAAGGAATAGGAGTGCAGACCTTGGCTGTTGATTAGAGGGCCACTAAGTTGGAACTTGGAGTAGAGGCTGGACCCGGCTTCCCCTACCAGCCACCAAGGATGTGGCATAAACCAGGCAAGGGACAGTGGACCTGATGGAAAGACTGATACACCCCAGAAGGGGAATACGTATGGTGACCCCTCCGGAGGACTGAGTTACAAACAGGAGACTTCAGTTCCTGGAGTGAGAGGGGTCTGCAGGATGAGAAGATGACAGGAGAGACCCTGCCAGAGGAGGGCACAATGTTTGGCCAGAGCTAATCCCCAGAGCGATCAGGAGGAGGTGCTACCAATGGTGAGTACGCTCCATGACATGGTATTATACCATTTTACAGATGGGGAACTGAGGCATAATAACTGAGGTTAATACCATGTCTCTACTAATTTTGGATGCTCAGTTTGAGATACCTATGGCTTGATTTTTTTTTCTCCCAGAGTACTTAACATTTTATACATTCAAAGTACAGCCTCCATCAACATCATTTGTAATTCTAAGTGCTCAGCCCCAGAGTCCTATGTTTGGTACCCATAAAATGAGGACACAATTAGCGGCAACATGTGAAAAATTTGGTTTGAGTGACTTGCCCACATAGGAACTTTTAGGCATGAGTAGACACCATTCTCTAGGGCAGAATTCAACTGCCTTAACCATAAATCCATACTTTCTCTTCCTTCACTCCCCTGCTTCATTCACCCCACACCTTCCAACTTCCTCAACAAATGAGGAAGGGTTCCTACAAACACTAGTTTTATTCACTACACAACCTTGAGTCCTCACTAGAGCATAGTTGATCCTGTGCACTGACTGAGGCAGGAGTCCTGCAGAAAAAACAGTATGTGATCATGTCATTAAAGACTGTCTGTCTCATAATGCGCACACACACAAGGGTGCTGAATTGCCCAGGCAACCTCAATTTTAGCATTAGCTCACTTTTGAGCCCTTGAGTTGTTTGAAGTTAATGGATTTATACTAGTGTAAATGATAGGAGCATCAGGCCCAATGGCTTCCCTTGGGTGCCATGTATGTCTGTTTCGAAAAGACATTTTAGTAGCATGCTGAAGGATTCCCCCTCCCAAAGGCACAGTTTTACAGGGATAATTTGGAGGGTTTTTTAGATTAGATAGAACTTCATTGGATCTCACTGAAGAAAGCAAGGCACTATAGATTTGAAGGAAGTTGACAAACGTGAACATGTTACACCTCTGCTTTATGAGACGACATTGGATCTATTTAATTCCCTGTCATTATGCCAGTATTCTGTTCTGCACTGTTATTACAGTAATGGGAATGAAAGCCATGGATCTTGCTTCAGTTAATATGAATTTGTATTCTCAACAGGAAGATTATGGGTTAGAATAAGGTGAATTAATTTTTGTAACCTGATTACTGTAACGTGTATGATACTGTGCTTCAGCATTTTGTATTGCCAAAAATCAAGAATATAAGAACTTACTTTCTTTTGTAGTTAGCAAGAAAATAGCAAGTGCGCATATGGCCCCATTGTATAGGCCGTATGTTTAATAGGCACTGTTCACATTTAGATACCACGAAGGATTTCTGAACAAATGTTAAAGGATTCCTCACACCACTGTAATAACTCAGATGTCCCAAGTAAGCATGGATGAAGGAAGACTAAACAAATGATGGTGTCTTGGCTTTCATGGGTTTTACCTTTTGTGAAATATATGTAGGAGATGCCAGCTGCAGATAAAAACACAAATTCCATTATTGTCTCTCTTCACCTGAATGGCTAATCAAAGTCCTTGGCACTGTGGGTTGTTCCACTTGGGAGGAAAAATTGAAGATGGAGCCTGGTAACTTTTGATGCAATCTTGTTTACCTATAAAGAATGACAAAGTCCTGTTTTCCTGAACACACAAGGAACCAAACAGGAGAGGATGTCGTTGCTCTCGGCACCAAAAACTTTTCCAGCCAGCACCTCCCAAAATCTCCCTCTCTAGGCTTTTTCGGGGTGGTGTTCCAGCTGCTTGTTCATGCTGTATCTTACTCTTGTTTCTCCATTCACTAAAACACACCCCCTTACCCAAAGCCAGCACCCTATGGAGACTTCCACCCACATGATCAAAATTCCTGGTGGGCTTTATACTCCCTTAGGTCTGTTTAGCTGTTTCTTACAAGTAGCTTAAATGTGGTTTAACCCAAATCACAATATCATAAATAATAAGGCTGTGCCTTTGGTTACACTAGGATCTGGTAGGGTTTTCTAGAGCTTTTGACTTGCAACGCCTCATCGTAGTGAGTTTTTATGCTTTTATGGAAAACTGGGAATTTGTAATGCATAGCTGCAGACTAATCAAGTCTGGTATCAAAGATGATTGACAAAGGACTGATATTAAACTGGCTCTACGAAAGAGGAGAAATACGATGACTCAAAACTGGAAATTCAAATAACCAATGAAGAAAGTATAGCTGTTAAACTTTGACATGCTTTCCCACTTTTCCAAAGCATTTAGCACGAGACTGCAGAAGGCCATGGCAAATTCTTGCAATCGAATATGAAGCAGGTGAGCACTATGCAGTTAAGCTTTGCAACAAACAAACCAGTATAGGAGCAACATCTTGTTTACTCTATACAGGTAACACATACTATGTAGATAGCATGAGTCTGATCACAGAAACTTAACGTATATTTACTGGAAAAAACAGCTTAGCACCACAAAACAGGAAATGTCAACTGGAACATCTTTTTAAATGAGTCTTCTTAATCCAAACCCAATGGAGTTCCATTAACTACAATAATGTTTGAAAAGAGCAGAAATACTGGAATGCAAGGTCTGTAACTGTTATGACTTGATTTTCTGCGTGTTGTTCTGTGTAACCTTTCCCCACTGAACTCCAATCAGCTTAGCCCTTAAATGGTGGATGTGTGGAACTTTTTGAAATGCTTGCCCTCAATGGGAACCCTCTGCGCAGCCTCAGATACAGCTGTGGAGCATGAGTAGTAATTTCCACAGAACCCTCCTCGAGATGCCTCTGGGCCCTTCTGAGTGCGCTGCCTTGCTCTCTGTACGGGTGCAGACACAGAAGATTCAACCAAAAAAAAATCATGCCCTGCTTTCCATTGCTTCTCTCCCTTTTTGACACACACACACACATACACGTACGTACGTACGTACGTATCAAATGTTACAGTATAGACATGTGGGTTACATCAGCTGTGTGCAAGAGCTGGTGCCATTTTGTGAGGCAGAGCTGATTGCAGCATGTTGACAGAGGAGGCGCACACACTGTGTTCTCCTTTATGGAGATTTCACTCTTGTTCTTAAAAAGAAAAGGAGGACTTGTGGCACCTTAGAGACTAACCAATTTATTTGAGCGTAAGCTTTCGTGAGCTACAGCTCACTTCATCGGATGCATTCAGTGGAAAATACAGTGGGGAGATTTATATACACAGAGAACATGAAACAATGGGTGTTACCATACACACTGTAAGGAGAGCGATCACTTAAGATGAGCTAATACCAGCTGGGGAGCCGGGGAGGGGAGCTTGTGCCACACGCTCTCAAAGAAACTGCGGAACCACCTGATCAACATCCTCTACAGCAAACAGGGAAAGATTAAGAATGAGCTCTCAAAACTGGATACTCTCATAAAAAACCTACAAGCCATTACCCTCTGATCCCACTGAGGGTTACCAAAAGAAACTACACCATTTGCTCAAGAAACTCCCTGAAAAAGCACAAGAACAAATCTGCACAGACACACCCCTGGAACTCCGACCAGGGGTATTCTATCTGCTACCCAAGATCCATAAACCTGGAAATCCTGGGCGCCCCATCATCTCAGGCATTGGCACCCTGACAGCAGGACTGTCTGGCTATGTAGACTCCCTCCTCAGGCCCTACGCTACCAGCACTCCCAGCTATCTTCGAGACACCACTAACTTCCTGAGGAAACTACAATCCATGGGTGATCTTCCTGAAAACACCATCCTGGCCACTATGGATGTAGAAGTCCTCTACACCAACAGTCCACACAAAGGTGGACTACAAGCCGTCAGGAACAGTATTCCCCGATAATGTCACGGCAAACCTGGTGGTTGAACTTTGACTTTGTCCTCACTCATAACTATTTCACATTTGGGGACAATGTATACCTTCAAATCAGCAGCACTGCTAGGGGTACCCGCATGGCCCCACAGTACGCCAACATTTTTATGGCTGACTTAGAACAACGCTTCCTCAGCTCTCGTCTCCTAATGCCCCTACTCTACTTGCGCTACACTGATGACATCTTCATCATCTGGACCCATGGAAAAGAAGCCCTTGATGAATTCCATCATGATTTCAACAATTTCCATCCCACCATCAGCCTCAGCCTGGACCAGTCCACACAAGGGATCCACTTCCAGGACACTACAGTGCTAATAAGCGATGGTCACATAAACACCACCCTATACTGGAAATCTACTGACCGCTATTCCTACCTACATGCCTCCAGCTTTCACCCAGATCACACCACACGATCCATTGTCTACAGCCAAGCTCTACGATACAACCACATTTGCTCCAACCCCTCAGACAGAGACAAACACCTACGAGATCTCTATCAAGCATTCTTACAACTACAATTCTTACAACTGCTGAAGTGAAGAAACAGATGGACAGAGCCAGAAGTGTACCCAGAAGTCGCCGACTGCAGGACAGGCCCAACAAAGAAAGTAACAGAACGCCACTAGCCATCACCTTCAGCCCCCAACTGAAACCTCTCCAACGCATCATCAAGGATCTACAACCTATCCTGAAGGATGACCCATCACTCTCACAGATCTTGGGAGACAGGCCAGTCCTTGCTTACAGACAGCCCCCCAACCTGAAGCAAATACTCACCAGCAACCACACAACAGAACCACTAACCCAGGAACCTATCCTTGCAACAAAGCCCGTTGCCAACTGTGCCCACATATCTATTCCGGGAACACCATCATAGGGCCTAATCACATCAGCCACGCTATCAGAGGCTCGTTCACCTGCACATCCACAAATGTGATATATGCCATCATGTGCCAGCAATGCCCCTCTGCCATGTACATTAGCCAAACCAGACCATCTCTACGTAAAAGAATCAATGGACACAAATCAGATGTCAAGAACTATAACGTTCAAAAACCAGTCGGAGAACACTTCAATCTCTCTGCTCACTCGATTAGAGACCTAAAAGTGACAATACTTCCACAAAAACACTTCAAAAACAGACTCCAACGAGAGACTGCAGAACTGGAATTAATTTGCAAACTGGATACAATTAACTTAAGCTTGAATAGAGATTGGGAG